ACAGTGAAGCTCCCGAAAGTCTGAGCTACAAATGGGGCTGGAGTCAAACACAAAAATTACGTGATTTGGCTTCATTTCTGCTCCTTCCTGTATCATCTCTCATGCCTTTATAATTGCTCCTGCCAGGTGGTAAAATGAGGAAAACCAGAAAAGACTGCTGCTGAACACCTCCAACAAGAAACTTTGCTTAAAAAACCAGGTGTCACACTGTGGCAGTTCAATATTTCATAGCCAATACAAGGAATGTGCAACAGCACTGCAACTTTAAATCTTTGCCTCCTGTGTCAGTCTATCTCCTCTCATTGTAATGCCAAAGGGAACAGCAATCAGAGTGGAGATGTTCAACGTGATAGAGGTCAGGACACCAGTGGATCAACGTACCAGAAACACGACCTTGTTTATTTTTTTCCCCAGTATTATTGTTTACAGGGTGCTTTGCTCATGTACCTTGTGGTTCTTAGCTAAAAGATGAAATTACAGCCCAGGATGAAGCGCTCAGGCACACATCCAATTTGTGTTTCCATCTCAGAAAACAAAAAGCTTCTGAGGCCCTCGGGCTGCCATTCAAACTTGGAGAGGCTGACATTTTTAACAGCATGAACCAGAGACTGGCAGAGGAATGATCTAATGCATTTCTGACTTGTCAATCAAAGATCTCACCTCTGCTGTCTTGTAAACAGTTGGGGGCCACCTAACTACATTCACAACCAGGGCAGAGCCTGCTGCCAGCCAGGGGGGTGCTGGAGCCACATGCTCTGGCTATTAGTCACCAAAATTAGGATTCTGCTTTAGAGGTGCACTGTAAACAGCCCCCGGGCAGGTTTCACACAGCCACTGGCAGAGCGAGAGGGGTGAATACAAAGTAGGCTTAGTGTGTCCATGCTGATGGAGTCTATGACTGGTCACCGAGTATCTGTCCCAATTAGAGACAGAACTATGCACACCAGCAAACACCAGTGCCAAAGCAAAACAATTTCCTTCAAATGTATTTCTCATAAACGCATTTCTGAGCATGCAGTTTGCCCACCCCAAGACTCTAGCTCTAACCTCCTGTATAACTAGAAATTATGTACTACTACTCACATTTACACTGTATTTCCAGCAATAAAATGTCAACTTCTAACACAAAAGTGCATGAACAGGCTGAAGGAAATTTACAGACACAACTGTTTCTACTAATACATTGACAATGCTTCTTGAACAAATATTCCACTTTGTAACACAAAAATATAAACATTAGGAAAAAATAATGTAAAAATAATTTGAAAAATAAGTTCATGTCTGTCTCACAGGGACAACAGACTTCCATCACTGCATACCTTTTACATCTTTTGCATTTTCATGTTTCTGCAAAAGTAATCTCAGTCCATAGAGGTCACATCCATACTGCCCAGCCTCAAGTGCACCCATGCCTTCCTCCCCAGGACAGAGCTTTTAGCCCGTACTGAGGAATTCTCGCACACATGCTCACTTCTGCAAAACCAAGCAGAAGCTCGTCCCCTTCACCTGACAAACCCTGATGTGTAGTTCTTTATGGCTGAGATCTTCAGACAAAACAAAAGGCAAATTTCTGACATTCTATAGAGACACTTCTGTACTCAACAAGATATTGCTACCTCCATCACAAAAGTTAATCCTCCTCTTTGACTACGAGAGTCTGTTATAGAAACAAAAGTTTCAGATTTGGCAAAATAAAGCTGATAAGACAATTCTGTTCTTCTCCACCTGTGTCTAGGTTCCAGACAAAGGTAATAAAAGCATGATTCTTGTCCCAAGAAGTTTACAATCTAAACAGGAGCTGGTATTTGTGTTGGTTGTGAATTAGGTAAAAGGGAAGAAGTGGACTGCTCTCTGCAATTATGGTGATACATAAAGTCTTTGGCAAGACTTTCAAATTCCTCTTCAAGCCTTCTCATTTATACAACAGCCTATAGAAACGAATTCAAGGAAATACTTTGGTCTTCTGCAAACCTGGAAGGATTAATACAATCATTCTCTTGGCATACTTGATGGGTGTAATTGTAAATTTGAATTTTCAAAGAGCTGCAGTTATGAAAAGCAACATAAATAGAGCCTTATGAGTATGTGCATGGAGAAATATTTAAACAGGGAAAGTAATTATCTTCACATGGAGAATGTCATGAAAACATACACTTGTTGGCACATCTGGAAACTTCCAAAGCACAAATGTCTAAGAAAAAATAGTATATTCTGCATTATTTATTTTCTATTATTAGGAGAATCTTCATGCAACCTAATTTTCAGTTGCTTTGCAGAATAACAGTACTGTAAAATCTGGCATCTAAGACATGGAATGGCTGGCCTTTTTCTCTTGTTAAAGTAACCTCTGATCACTTCTCACAGTGCCTTATAGGAGTTCATGTCCCAGTTTGCTGCCATCTTCCACCATGATTGCTATGAAATTCAGTTACATAGTAGACTGTCAGTTGCAAAGCCCTTTGAGATAAAAGATGTAAAAAAGAACTGTTTCTTACTCCCTATTCCCTTATTCATGGATTTAGCCTTAAAGCCTTTCCCACTGCAGGATGACTGCCTAAAAACAGGGCTGAGGAACCAGAAGATCCTGTTTTCACCTAAGTGTCTCCAATAATAAAAACACAAAGAAGAAAAATGAAGTTACCTGACATATTAACAGAATTATCTCTAAATCGACTACCTGCCAATGCTTCCCATGAGGAGTCAGCAAGACATTAACTGAGCTATTCAAAAAGAGCATCTTTCCACATTTCTGTCTGAGCATCTGAAGGCAGGCATGTAAATAACTAGACAAATTCAGCAGTGACTAAGTAGCCTTCCAGATGGCATCTTCTCTTTTGCCACAAGCAAAGAACATTGATATGCTTCTCCAGTTACTTTAAGCTTGCTACAGAAAAAAAGAAAGTAACTTAATATGAGAAAATTCACTGGGCTACAAGAAAGTCTTTAATGCTTTCCCAAAGATTTGATACCAAAAAAAAAAGCATTAAAGAATGATGAAATACTACAACATCACTGCTTCAAGCAGGCTCCAAACCACTCCCTTCTGCACTGGAAAATGCAGAAGCCATGCCTCAGAGGGGAGTTTTCTTCAAACCATGCAAGCTAATGAGGATCAATCAGAGCCCATTGAAAAAAAATGGACTGAAATGAGGATGACTCAGTGCTGCAGAAGCTGTTGCTGTCAATGTGGTTTCTCTCTCAACTGGCAGTAAACGTGTTCCTCAACACAGCAGTCAGAGATCAGTGAAGAGCACCAGTCCACCATTTCAGATGGCAAGTGACATACTTCCCCAATTCCCAGTCACTAAATGCACATGGAAATATCTCAAAAACTGCAGAAATGCGAACGCCAGTCCTACCAGTATCCCAACACAATGAATGACTCTGCAGCTAACTCATTTGACCCCAAATATCAATGCACTGCATTAACAGAACAATTACTGTTCATATCTATCATTAGCAAGGACATCTTAAGCTAAAATAAATTAATTTCTCTTTCCCTTTGTAATATATGCCTATTTTAAGTAATCAAAAATAATTCAAGTAGAAAGGAAGAAGTCTCAATTTGAGTTCATAAATTACTTTCCATATATTGCTAAGCTTAAGGAGATCTGAGATTTATTCAACAGCCAAAAGCCCAAATATTAGGCCCATCCGATTTAGTCAAATTATGCAAATCAGGATTAGGAGTCTAACTCTGCCTGTTGTCTCTAGAGTCCTCTTAGACTAATAAAAAGTCGTGTTTCCCCCTCCCCCACGGAGAGCTCCACTAAAAGCTTGGTTCAGCAAAGGAGGCCTGGCAGGACACCTTCCAGAGTCCATCAGTGCTACTGCTGTGTCAGCAAAAAGAGTTGCAGCAAAATGATGCAAGACACTTAAGCCTCCTCTGGGACTAAGAAGATTATTTCCACAGCACTATCCTAGCTCTGGGAGCAAGAAGCAAAACTTAAAATCATCTTTGCAAGCCTTACTTTAGAGGTGCATAATGAACTTACCCCTAAACAAGTGAAAATTTCAGAAAGATTCTGGCCTATCTTTTTGTCTGGTTTTGAAAGATGCTGGTAAATAAAACTCTCTGCCACAGGTTAGGCCAGCAGAAGCATAATCGAGCAGCATAAACCTTGAGGTGAATGTTCATGCTACAATTAGCTCAAATAACCATGCCCTCTACAGAGATGTTTCTAAAGTCCCTCAGTCACTGCAGTCTTAAAATACCTCAGAGTTTCCAATGTGACTATAACATCTCTGGAGCCCAGTCTCTGCTGTTGTGCCCATTTGTCATCAGAAATGCTTGCAATGATCTTGAGAGCCTTGTCTACGCTTCTTGATGGTCACCCAGCACTTGTCTTACTCTCTACCCATGGGAGAATGTCTGCATTTTTTAGGATTCACTGGTCAAAGGGTCTGAACAAACTTGTTTGGCAGAAAGCTGACTCATGATAGAGAAAAGCCTGAATCTAACAAATCAGAGATCAAAGGGTAAAGAAAAAAGGTTTCCTTTATTTGCCTTTTGACTGACAGCTTACTTGGACAATAATTTTTTATAATCAAAATGTCTAGACTCCTGCTAACAAAGCTGAAGTAAAGAATTGCTGGCATCAGTTATCATCATGGCAATGAACTCACCCTCTGAGTCCTTTAAGTGGCACACAAAAAATTTAGATAGGAGGGGAATCGCAAATAGCCAGAATAGCCAGATTGGAGACTCTGTAATGGATACTGTTTGGCAGATATAATTAAGTGGTATCTTTTTGACACAATTTAAAGCCAATGAAAAAGATGATTGTATCAAGCCAATTTAGATAAAATAATTATATCAAGGTAAATGGAAATGCCCCAGCTGCCCTGAATCTACACAAGATGGGTTAAAATACCAGAGATCAGAATGACAGAGGAGAGGCACAGAGTATGAACCAGAATAAATAGAGGTCAAGCAGGCAAGTAAAGGAGATGCACACGCACACAGATGGAGAGAAAAGGAGGGGAGAGACAGAAAGTACCTGGAAAGCTGGGAGTGCGCCAGTCCCTGGGTTATACAGGCATCGCAGCGAGGGCATGCTGTCCGCCAGGCTGGAGCAGCCCAGCCACAGAGATCTGGGCATAGAGCACTGCAGAGAAAGGACAACTATGAGATGGGACTGTGTGAGACAGGATGGCACAGATTACAGGAACTTTAAGGCCAAATGGCATCAACACAACTGCCCTTTAAGAGAGCACTAACTGCTGAAGCATCTTTTCCTTGAGAGAAGCTTTACAGATGTCATAGTAGCAAGAAAAAAGCCTATGGATCAAGAAAGTAAATTTTGATTAATTTTCCACAACAATGTGTTGAATTTTCCCAGTAATAAAAAGTTTCTTTCCAATTAATCAGACCTCTTCTCCATCCACAGCAATGCTTCAGGCAGAACACAAGGCAAGCAATTTTGCAAGGAAAGCAGAAAAGTAAATTACAAGTTTAAGTGTAATACTTGCAGGGAAAGAAAAGGTTTGTGTTTTGTCTGTAAATGAGATAAAAGGAAAAACCTATGATCCAAGGTGAATAGGAATTTGGTGACACTGTATAAGAGTTTCCTGCTTCTGCTTGCCTTGTTGTTTGTTAAATAAAATACAGCTGTTATAATAAATTGATTCAGTTCCTACAAACAGAAATACAAAAAGGAGCTAAAGCAGCCAATCAAGGAAAATACTAGCCATTTTGATAGTTAAAGCCATTACCCCTTGAAATAGAGAGCTGCTTATTCATTTTACACCACTACTATTAAATTTAGGGATGCATTATGATAGCAATTGCTTTTACCAGACACAGAGTTTTTGATGCCATAAGCACTACTGCATTTGTCTAATTACTGGCAAGGCAGGAAAAAACAAGTGTATTTTAAATTGGCAGATAGCCATGAAAACTGAAGGATGTGATAGATTAGCTGTTAGAGATTTTAAACCCTCATGCTCTTCTTTTTTGCAATCCTGCCCCTTTTTTTTTTTTTTTTTTAATAGAGGGGGAGGGAATGGGAGGAAATTTGAGTGGAAAGGGCAGCTGGAATGGGTATGAAATGACAGCTGCCTTCTGAGCCACCGTTTCTTCCTGCTCTTGAGAGGGCTAGAAATCCTTGCACAATCTTGCACTAAGTGAGTATGTAAGAGCAACATAACCCATCTCTGAATGAGCAGAAAGGTGATCACCAACATCCATAATCTCGTCCTGTGCAGACAGACACAAAGATTAACCTTGTCTGTCACCACATTCTTTGCTATACTTTGTTGCAATTTACACTGCTGTTCCAGAAATAGTATTTAGAGACTGCTGGGGAATATAACCTGTAGTAAAGTTCTCAACAGAAGTTTATGATACCTTAAAATATATTCCTCACTGCATTTTCATTTAAAAAAACTCAACCAAACCAGTCTTCCCTTTACAAAGACACTGAAACTCAAGAATTTGAGTACATCATAGTAATACATATCACATGAACTTGTATGTAATGCCCCCCCTGAAGCCAAAATAATTACAGCCATAGTATTGTAACAAGCTACAAAAGTGAGCCATACTTCCTTGTCCCCCATTCTAACCTCCCAAACACTACATTTAAAAAAAATCTTCCAAATGCCAGCAATCTTATCTTTGCAACGTAATATGCGTCATTACAGCTACTGAAAGCTGTTGGGATATTAACTTTTTTAAAAAAAAAATTCATACATGAAATGGACATCCATGGTTAAACGTGGTAAATCAGTTTTATTTATTTAAATCAAAGTTGTTTATTATTCTCCAAGAACGTCACAGTAACAGGAAATTCACTACATGGTGCCTCTGATGATGCAGAGCAAATTCACTAGGTAAGCATCAGCTGCTTACCATTACCCATCCCAGGATTCATAACATAATACAAAATAAATATGGGATGATTTTTTTTTCCCATACAGCATTATCCAAGACTTGCAGCTATCATTTATTCTATATTCTCTAGCTTTCCCATTCCTTGGGTTGGCTCAAGTTTTCATGCTGTGATAATGAACTCAAAGAAATGATTGCCATTAAAACTGACTGACAAGCAAAAAAAAGCAGTTACTTTAAATATTTGTACTGACTGAAGCATGGAAAGGTACAGAAGCAGGAAAAATGAGAAGCACTCTGTCAGTGGAAAGGCAAGCTTAAGTTGACTCAAGGTTTAGGTGAGATTACAGCTCATGTCAGAGTCATTACAATCTGCAGGTAGGGCACTCTATTGTGCCAGGGAACTTACAAGGCAATGAAATGTCTTCCTCTAAAATTGCCACAATAACAAAGGAAAGCACTGAAGGGCTATTCTGCAGAGCTCTCTGTCCAACAGAGGATATCATTCCTCACCCATGCACTCTTGCCACTTAGTATTGTCCCAGAGTTATGAAGTACGAAGTAAAAAACTACCAATAGCTCAGATGATTTCTGAATCTGTTCCAGTATATAACAAAATCTACATTAGTGATACAGTTCTGTTACCTATCTTAAAAATATAAGCCTGAAGTTGCAGAGTGTGGAAGGAAATGTCATTCCCGTACTTGCCTTTTACCTATTGAAGGAAGCAGAGACACTAAATTACTGCTGGTGACTGAAAGAGGCTTATTCACAAGCCTGAACAAAAGGCCCCAGGTGCTTCAATAGAAACAGCTTGTGTGTAAATCAGATGAGTGACCCAACAGAACAACTTCATTTAGAGGCTGATCTCTGAAAAATCCCAACAGCCTCTATCCCCATGCACTGAGCAAGCCACGTGTCAAACACTCACTTTTGTACTGTCAGCTCCACAAACAAGGGACTGGCCTCAATGTTCATGACTTGAAAGCTGACTGACAAAATCCTCTCCTGAACTCAAGTCAATCTACATCGATTCATCAAAACAAAGATACAGAGGCACAGTGCTTGGACTAGAGCCAAATGGGAATGCTGGTATTGCTTGCTAAGTACTGGGCTAGGATGCTGCAATCTCTTTACTTTCCTAACTCCCAACTGCATTAATACTTCGGATGTCTGCACAACTTTCAGACCCAGAGATGCAAAGCTTTTTATTTAGAAAAGCTAAGCATCTTTAATACACACTGAGTGGCATAAAATAGGGAATTACTTGATGAAAAACCCAATTTCTTTTTCCAATTGATTTTAAACTCCCACTCCCTGAACTCTGAAATGTATTTTCCCACTAAATAAATACAGAGAGAACAGTTTCAAACAAGACCAGCATCCTCCTTCTGACAGAAGCTGGTTCCAGCTGCTCCACTGGTGATTAAAATGAGTTTGCCTTACTTTGAATTAAAATAGGCTAGAAGCATTCACAACCACTGCCTGAACTGAGTGGACAGTAACCATAAGCTGAAGGGAAGATGTATTTTAACCTATTCAATTATTCTTGTAATTATATTGCAAGAACATTTTTTGACTACATCAGATGTTCTGCCTCTAATAGTCTACCCTCTCTTCCAATTATGTGATGTCCTAAAGACAAATTTCAATACACACTCAATGGCTAAATTTTTGCCAGTGCTAAAAATTGGTTATTTACTTTATTTGCTACTGCATTACAAGATTATACATTACCATTTCAGACTGGGTTTTTCTTATCAAATTTGTTCTCTTCTAGTCCTTCAGCAAATACAATATACTAGGGGTAACTAACACAGTTTTAGCAAATTGTGTTACAGGTCAGAAATATATCACCTTGTCCTGTAAAACTAAGTGGCTCTACACAGGGGAAAAAAATAGTTCTTGGACTACTACAGTTCACAGCTATAGTGCACAGGTAAGAAAGCATAAACTGACTATATTGAGCTCACTATAAAACATGACCAGAAGACAATAAAACAATAGTTGAAGGATATTTTCTTTATAGTCACTTCAGAGAAGTTAATTAGACAGTAGTACAGATGACTGTCTCTAACTGTGGTATATTTTAAAATAGTAAGGTATTACCTGCTACCCCTATATGAACCTTGTACTGAACTTTATGATAACCTGTGCAATTAAAACACCTTTGATTTACAGGCAGCCTAATATACTTCTGTACATCTTCACAAATTAGTGACAAAGCCAAAGAGGAAACCCAGTTTTCTCCCCAAGGTCTGGTGTTTGTATACTGTACATAAGATGAATTTCAGATGCTAACCACATCTATTTCAGTCCTTCCCTAGTTCAAAATTATTTCCCTTCTGGTACAGCATCCAGTGCCTTATGCAGGTGAACTACAAAGAAAAACCAATAACAATTTCTAACTCTTACAAAAACCAAGACATGACGGGAAAAGAGGTCCCGAAATTCCATCACCCAAACTGGAGCAGATAGAGCATAAGGGATGCTCTGAAGGGTATTAGAACTATGTAAACCAGATGTGAGCTTGATGTGAGGAAACAGATCACCACTCCAGAAAGTAAATCTGGGATGGCTGGCAAGAACAATTCTCCCTGAAAGTCTCTTTCACACTGTTTCCTGCATGCTCTACAAAACCTAATTCTCAGGAAATGTGCCTAAAGAATTTTAATCCTTTATCAAACACATGCTCACATCTTACTGCGATTCCTAATATTCAGAATTATTTTTATCATACACCACAAAAATAGGAGAACAAACCTCAATACCTTTCAATCTCACTCAGTTCCTCTTATACTTTTTTTGGCCACATACTTAACTAAGCCAAGGCCAAAAATATAACATACATCACTTTCACATTGTATTCAGTCTGCACTATTCCTGTCACCACAGAATGCAACACATTGCATGAAACATATCAGATAAGGCAGCTGCTATTTACATTACAAATGTTGGTCTCATGAAACTTAGTAACAATTTCAGAAATTTACTTCTGGCTAAAAAATTATTTTGGATCCTTTCTCTGGTCCACTTTTCATTCTTTTAACCTCTCATATACCTTTTCATTTTTATGTGTATTTCTTATTTTTCCTCTACTGTTCTGAGAGGTGTTTTCTAATTAAATATATGTAAGTATCAAAAAAAAAAAAAAGCATCTTGTATATTTTCACAATTAAAAAACCTGCCATACATATTTCATCTTTTAGCTTTGGTACCTCTTATTATCTGTAAAAAAAAGTATATAATACGACTTCTAAAAAATCTGCCAAAATG